GGCCTTCATTGAGTGCATCAAGAAGTTCCTTACGAGATAGAGCCAGGGATTTAAGCACAATTGCAATGTTCTGCGATTTTCGGGGATCGAGAACCATGATCTGTGCCGATGAGCCAGTGTTAGCACTCTTTGTGTTCTTTTCACCGGTAGGGGATTTCTTATTTGTAGCCACATATCCAAATAAAGCTTCCATAAGATCATCATCAACCCTGAAGAATCAATTGCATTTCTGGTCAGATAAAAGAACAAAATCGGCTTAATAGTTACTGAAACAGTGAAATCGAAAAGTTTAAAACTTACTTAAAAGATCCGCCATTGATTCTGTCCCATACCATGGAATGATCAGCATTCTTTTTGTTCATTTTATCCCAATGCAATGGCTTCAATTTCACCTGACTATTATCACTATCTCCAGAAGACTCCCCTGATTTACCGCTACCGGACTTATCGGTGGCAGGTGGAGGAGGTTTCAAGGTCGTAACTGAACCGCCGGCTTTTTTAGATGGTGGTGGTGGCGGGGCAGGGCCTTTCGCTGGAACCGGCGGAGGAGGAGGCGGTGCTGCTGCTGGAGTTCTATTTGGTGGAGGCTGCGGTGGCATTGGCGGTGGAGGGGAAAATTTTGATTGAACTGGAGCTTCTATTTTCTCAACAGCTTTTAAAACAACCCCTTGAGACGACGGTTGAGGGGCAGATTTTGATTGAACCGGAGCTTCAATTTTCTCAGCAGCTGTTAAAACAATTCCGTGAGACCGCGGTGGAGGGCCAGATTTTGATTGAACCGGAGCTTCTCTTTTCTCAACAGCTTTTAAAGCAATCCCATGAGACGACGGTGGAGGAGTTGAAGGACTCGTATTTCCACTTGAATCTTCATCTTCAGGAGGTGGAACATGGGAAGTTGAAGATTTCCCACGAAGCAAAGGAATTTCATTTGCAGGCTCCACCTTTTTGCTTCTATTACCTTTCCGAACCATTCCACCGCCTTCTTCTTCTTCTTCATCTTTCGTAACATGCAAAACCTCTTGGCGGAACCCATTTATGGTACCTCCGTTTTGAAGCTGCCTCCAATAAAGAACATCCAAGCCATTTTCATCTACGATTAAGCCCTTTATGTTCCCATTAACTCTACCGAACTCATCCGGGGGCACTCTCGGCTGAGAACTATCTCGAGTTCCCTCCCTTCCACGCCGAGCAAGAACATATCTTCTGATCAAAAAGAAGAATACCGCTGCAATAACAATAGTGCTTCCGGCGGTCGCAGCTACTGCCTTCGCAATAGTACGGTTGCTGTCGTTCCCCGAAGATGACGACGTTGATGGCGGCGGTGAATCAAGCGGTGTTGCTTCAGGGATGGGTGAGACTGGCGGTGGAGTTTGAGTTGGGTAGAAGACTTCAATGTTTTGAGGTGATCCCTGGGCATAAGAGAAAGGCAAGACGGAGATGAAGAACAGAAGGAAGAGGTGGAGAAGAATCGATATCCGAAACGTGACAGCCATGAAAGAGCTGTGCTAAAATCAGAAGAGAATAAATGTTTAGATTTTGGTTCATGTGGGGGGGAATGAAATTTTTATGCTTTCGTTTCCTTTTTCTGGGTTTGGATTTGGTAAACTAGGCGTTGACAATTTCTTATTAGTAGTTACTCGGTTTTGTGTTACGGTCCCTCCATGGCCGCCCACTCTTGTGAAAAATTATTAAATATTCTCAGCGAAGCTCTTTTTTTCCCCTTTAAAGAATCGATCAAAGTGAAAATTGGAATTTTTTTTTATTTTAAAAACAAATACGAACACAGGTTATTCAAGGAAAAAAAAGAGTGTTCACTCTTTCATAACAATTGAATGAGTGAATAAGAGACGCTTGAACGAGTAAAATGCAAAGGTAAGACTTGAGAGAGATGTTAAAAGGTAATAGTAATGTTAGATTAAAATATATTTAGTATTAACAACAACTAATTGGTTTAGTAGGATAATATATTATCTCTCTTAAGTAAGGTCAGAGGTTCAAATCTTGACGTTTGTGAATTGAGCAAACTGAGTTGAGAGAGTCATTCTCGCCTCTGCAGTACCCGATCTGGATTAGAAGGATACCGGTGATTAATTCAAAAAATATATATATTTAGTGTAAAATACATAAATGGTCCTTTGACTATAAAATATTATTTTATTGAGTCTTTCGATTATTAAATGTTATAAAATAACTCTCGATTATAGAATGTTGCTTTGTTGAAGTCCCTCGACTAGTAGAAGCTATAAAATAGTCACTTGACTATTCATTATGTTCCAAACTAGTCATTTTCCGTTAAAAAATTAACGACAATTTGAGCTGGATGTTAATCTATTGTCATAATTGTTTGAGATTCTGGTATCAGATTTTATCATATCTCATACAACAAATTAATATCCATCTTAGACTATCGACATTTTTTAATAAAAAATGACAAATTTGGAACATAATGAATAATCAAGTGATTATTTTGTAACTTTTAATAGTCAAAGGAACTAATAAAATTATATCCTAGAGTGGAGGGACCACTTTATAACTTTTTATAGTCAAGGGACTTAACAAAGTAATATTGTATAGTCAGGGGACCGTTTGTATACTTTACCCATATATTTAATACAAGAGTTTAACGAAATTATTAAGAATTTGTAAATATAAAAAGGTATTAAAGTGATATTAATTTAAAATATGATACGACTAAGAGATATTATTTAATATGATTTAATTTTGTCTATTTCTATAGAAGTGAATACTTTTTTTATTTAAGTGTTTAAACTATTTTCTAGTCAATTTGAGTGCCTAATGTTTCTTATATTACACTTTTATATGTTTGGACCGTCATTTCCAATGTTTTAAAAACCCTAGTTTCTAAAATTATAAAAAAACTCAAATTTTTTTAAAAGGCTTAAACTAAAAAAAGTCCCTAAAATATACTCATTTTTTCCTTTAAGCCCATAAACTATTTTTTGTCAAAATAAGCCCTTAAACTATTATATGTAATCACTTTAAGTAGCTAAACTATTTTTTTTCAAAATAAGTCCCTAAACTATGTTTCTTTTTTGCTTAAAGCCCCTAAACTATTTTTTAGTCAAAACAAGTACCTAATTTTGTGTGATGTGTCAACATCTTATTTGTAAAAAAACATTTCTCTAAGTAAAAAAATGATAGGACTTAAAATGATTAAATATAATAGTTTAAGTACTTATTTTGACTAAAATATAGTTTAAGGGCTTAAAACAAAAAGATGGCATAATTTAAGGACTTATTTTTACTTTAAGACTTTTTAAAATCATAATTCCAATCCCTTTACCACTGTTGACCACCACCACCGTCGTTAATCGGCCAAACTTCCAACAATGTACGACTGGACGAACACCCAACAGTTAAAACCCCCAACACTAACCTTTAATTGTAGTGAAAATCAGCAATAGAAGTGAAAACTAACGATCACAAAATATTACATTTACAATGTTGTTGGGTGCTTGACTGGTTGCCAAAGTAAAGGGATTTTGGTTGTGGGTGTTGGTTGATCACACATTGTTGGGAGTTTGGTCGATTAACAACAGTGATGGCGACCGACGATGGTAAAGACATAGAAGTCAGAGTTTTAAAAGTTTTTGGGCCTCTTTTTGTAATTCTATAAAATTTCAAGTTTGTCTTTAAAAAATTATAATTTTAAGTTTTTTAATTTAAATAAAATTTTATAAAGGCATCTTCAACGGTAGAATTTAAAGATCGTGATAGTCCAAACACCTAAACAGAGACAAAATTAAGAATTTATTAAAGCGAGGGTCAAAAGAATATAGGGATTCTAATAATATCAATCGATCAATGACCATAATAATATTTTTTCCATTGAGGGCCCCAATAAAACTTATTTTATTTATTTCCTATATATATATATATATATATACTAATAAACATTTTAAAAAAATTTCACAGGGCCCACGCTACTCTTGACCCCTACGATGTTCTGTCCCTACATTTAAAAGTGTAACGTTGAAAATATTAGACACATGTATTGATTAAAAATAATTTAGACACCTAAATGTGAGAAATAATATAGTTTAGACACTTATTTCTATATTAAGCTTAAATATAAAGATCCCAAAAATTACAAATATATAATATTTCATATATATACATATACATATACATATAATATAATATATATATATATATATATATATATATATATATATACATATATATATATATATATATATATATAAATATAAAAATATGTATATGTATATGTATATATATATATATATGTATATATAAAGCAAGTGTTTATTCACTTGCAACATATCTGTAAAATTATCTCTGTAAAATTCAAAAGTGACAAAATTATAAAAAGTTTTTTTTAAAATAATTTTCTCCTATAATTTATAAGACAAAGACCTATCATATCTTTATAGAGAAACAAATTTGGTTACCAAGAATATTTTTCACATAAAAATGCTTCACTCATTAAACTTAATCAATAAATAACTTTTGATCAGTATAATTTTAATAAAATCTAGTTTTATTTTAGAAAATTTGAAGTAATATTTAATAAAAATGTTTATTATTATTTTAATTATATATATATATATATATATATATATATATTCAAAGAATTAAGAAAAAAATTAGTTTTTTTTTCTCATTAGTGTCTCGCTCATCTCTTTTTTCCGTCTTTGTTAATCGGCGACGACATCAATTTTAATATTGATTGCCTACATTTGGTATTCTTTATTGTTTTTTTCTTTTTTACATTGTATCACTATTTTCTTTTATTTTTTGATTTTTAATAAGTCAATCTGTATGACACGTTTTCATATGCATTTATGACACATTTTCTTATGTTTTTGGCATGTTTTTCGGTTGTTTGACCTTTTTTCATTTATATTTTTTTAGAGTTGATTTGACATCGCTACGACTTATTAAGACATGCTTATTTGATATCTTATTGATATTCCATGCTTTGGATCGTCGAATTGAATTTGGATACTTGATTTGCGTTCGTGGATAGTTTTTCAGATACCTAATTTGCGTTCGTTGATAGCTTTTCACGTCGCTCTAGCCTGATTTGCGGTTTGTCAATGGTCTTTGAATATCTTGATCTCTTTTTATGGTTCGTTTGCCGATTCGATTGGATCTATTAATATCTATTTTTGTTCGAGTTTTTTGGTTAGATTTTTAATCTTTCTTTGTATGGTCCCTATGTGATCTTAAGTTACTAGTTTTATTTCAATAATTATATGAAACTTTTCTAATTATGTGTTTAATTTATGATTGTGATTGTAAATCTTTATTATAATTTGAGATATTTCTTATTATGAATAAAATTAGTCGTTTAAAAAAATCAAAACAATTGAAAATTAAAAAAATATAAAAGACTGAAATTGATTAAAATTATAATATAGTGATTAAAGGTGTAATTTATGTATAATACAGAGATTAAGAGTAGAAATTAAGCTTCTAAGAATCTCGTAATGATTGTGATATGGTATCGGAAAGTTCCACTCAGCTTTTGACTAATTATTTATTAAAGACAAAAAGGAAACAACCAAAGAAGGGGTGAAAATTGGAGGGTAAGAGAGCATTGTTAATTTACAAAATGAGAGTCAATTTGCATATTTAATTATTTAAATAATAATAGAGGAGTTGGCTCACCAAATTTTATAATCTATTTTGACGTCGTCTTCATGTAATAGTAGTAGTTGGCAAAAACAGACAATTGACTCCAGACGCGGTCTTCGGCCTTTTTTTCCCAATATTTTCGTCAAACGTCAAAATCTAGAAGTACTCCGCTTTATTATTATTTTTTTAAACCGCATAAACGACTACATAATTATATAATTATGGGCGAGGTTACAAAGTGATCATTATTTTTAAATTTACATTAATATGATCACTGAGCTATTTAAATGGTTTTAATATGGCCACCTTCCGTTATTACTTAACGGAAGTCTCTACGTGGCAGTTAATAAAATTTGTATAATTAGGACACGATTTCTTGTAAAGTTATATATTCGAGTTGCTGGAACCATGCTTTGTTTTCCTCCATTTTGGTCACTATTGGTGTATGATTTATTTTCTTGGATTTTCATTTAATGCAATTTGATCATGTTTCTACTTTTAATTTGTCTAATGCCTTAATTGAGCATTAACATTAAAATCTTTTATTCTAGTCATGTATTAAATTTGTAGATTAAATCCCCTAGATTTTAAAATTAATCAATTTGATCACCAAGATTAACTTTAATTCTTAATTTTTAATCAGGTCCTAATTCCAAATTAATTTAATAAATTTATTTCTCCAATCAAATTGTGACACATGTCATAATCTTTTGGTAATAATTTGAATATTAAATATATATATATATATATATATATATATTAAACATCAAATTATTATTTTTTTACTGATTTCATATATATAATCATTAAAAAATAAATACGAAAAAGAATAAATTTAGTTTACAAATATTAAAATCTTAGAACAATTATAAATAAATTATTAGATTTATTTTAGTGATTTAAGTTTTGTCAAATT